CTGAAAGTCGGAAAACGTTGAACACAAAGATTCAGAAACTGTGAAGGTGAGAATTACTAAGTAATGAATGAGTCTTAATTTAGACTTTATCTACCTTGTTGGTAGCAAGTCCGGCTGCATCGGGTATCGGCTTCAATTCCCAAGTCGGGCAAAGGATTATTGGCTAGCTTAGAGTTTATTCACACAATTTACAAGTTGATTTTATTTTTTATTTATTTTATGGCATAAGCCGGTAAACGAGCAGACGGATCACTTGATGGTAAGCAATCGGCGTCGCCCATGGACACCTGGAACACCAGAGGCGTTACAAGTGCGTTACCGGCTTTTTGAGTTGTTTAGGAGTTTGAGGATCGTTGGGGATTCAGGGATTGGGGAGATTGGGGAAGGGGAGGATAATTGGGCCTCCAGTAACCTCACTCATACGAGGAAACACTACGCAAGCGTTGCTTCACGTCGGTTTTCTTTGAGGCCGTGGTATCACTCCGGTCGAACCGGCCCATCCGTGCCGAAGCATGACTCTTTCACATATGCACAGGGCATAATGGATCATTTCTACCTATAAGCAACCTAATCTATCGCCCTCCATATTTTGTACCTACATTCATTGCAAATAAATCTATTCTATTCTCCAAAAACACCTACAGAACGAAATTTCTTATTTAAACTGTCAAACACCAAGCGGTCACCGGTGACCGCAACCTATTGTTCTATAATTGTGTCTACAAAGACGGTACTCGACGAGTCTAAGAAACAAAACTCAATAATTTGACTGCACGGTCGGTGCGGTGGCTGGGCAACCGGCTGCCATATCGCGGGTTCGATTCCCGCACGGAACAACACATTGTGTGATCCACAAATTGTTGTTTCGGGTCTGGGTGTCATTGTGTATGTGAACTTGTATGTTTGTAAACGCACCCACGACACAGGAGAAAATCCTAAAGTGGGGCAACGTTTTGTTTAAAAAAAAAATACTCACCCAGCTTAAAATCTTCAGTGATCTCTCGTCCAATGAAAGGCACGCTGGGGTACAATCGCAGTATTTCCTTGATGACTGCCTCCAAATATTTCATGTCGGACAGATTGGACATCGTCACGTGTTCTGAGTCACCCAGGATCGTTTGGCATTCCTCGTAGATGCGCTCCTGAAAAATGATGTATATAAATTAAAGTGGTCGACAGTACTTTTGTATTAATTAGTCTCAGTAAGAGAAGACATTCGTCGTGGGTGGCCCGGAGGTTTAAGACGCTCGCTTCTGATGCATGAGGGCGCGGTTTCGAAAACTACCAACGGCGAGTACCAATGTGACTTTTTCCGAGTTATATGTGCAATTTTTAAGATTATTCAGACACCACTGACTAACGGTGAAGGAAAACATCGTGAGGAAACCTGGGCTTATAATTTCTAATTAGTTCTTCAAAGCGGATATTTTGTAGTTTACATTATTTTATTCATTTGATTTAAAGAGTCGTCAATGTTCAATGAAATTGCAAATTCTTAACGAGATAAAATGTCAAGATTATGTAATTGTAGTGATGTGTTTACTGTTGTTTATAAATCTGTGTCAAATCCTTGTTTTAATTAAGTATATTGCATGTATTGTACGCCCTAGAGGCAAAACATAGCGCTCTCAACATATTACATAAGAACTTATAATGTACCTATGTTTTACAATAAATAAATGAATCTTGAATCTTGAATCTATAAGTTTGAAATCGCCAACACGCTTTGAGCAAGCGTGGTGATTGATGCTCAAACCTTCCCCGTGTGAGAAGAAGCCTTTGGTCAGTAGTGGCCACTTATAGGCTGTTGATGTGAAGGGAGGATAGTAAGGTAGGAGGGGTAAGTATTAGGAGGATAATATCTAAACTTAACATACTAATAGTGTTTGTTAAAATTAAAATTGAAGAATCAAAATAGTACTTAACAAACATGTTTAACATAACATAACATCACGCCTTTTATCCCTGAATCAACCCGAGACCCGTTGCCCGGAAGTAACACCCACTTTTCACTATTTATGTTATGAGTCCCATGTATTAGGGGGTGAGCCTATTGCCATATACCGGGCACAATTCTAGACTCCGTGCTACTGCTGAGATTTTTTTTAAAACCCAGTAATACTTTTCCCGACCCGACAATCGCACTTGTGATCACTCGACCAACGAGGTAGTCAAAACAAGTCACAGTTACAAAAATGTTTATTACTCCTAAATATCTGGAGAGTCCAATTCACATATTTTGATTTAAAACAAATTATGCAGCACAATTTTTTATTATTATCCTATCAACAACAGATAGACCAGCAATAAAAGCCATCTGTTCGCTAGAAAAGAAAATTCAATATTTTTGCAGTCTCTTTGAGATGACAAATGGAATTTCATTTCTGCAAGAAGAAAAAGTGAAGTCAAGATGTTTTTATTAACAGGCCACTCACTGGCAAACATTTCTCTCCTGTTTCAATAAGCAGTGGAAAATTAAAATAAATAAGAAACGTTTCATATTATTATACTCTATGTAGTATTTATATATACACTAGCTTTTACCCGCGGCTTCGCTCGCGTCACAAAAGGATAAAAAGTAGCCTATGTGACATATACCACATACACACAGCGCCATCTATACCAATAATTTAGTTTTCCCTCGAGAATATCAATTTTTCCGGGATAAAAAGTACCCTATTATTTAATCCAGACTTCTAACTTCACATCTGCAAAAATTCAAAGCAATCGGTTTAGTAGTTACGTCGTGAAAGTGGAACAAACAAACAAACTCACTTTCCAATTTATAATATTGGTAAGGATTTCTTGGTATAGATACATTTTTTCTTTTTTCTTTCTTTTTTTTAAAGAACTTTGACCCTACACAAAGATTTTCTCCTGTGTCGTGGGTGCGTTTACAAACATACAAGTTCACACGCACATACATGGTCACACATCACACCCAGACCCGAAACAATTTGTGGGAATCGAACCCGCTACACGTTGCTCGGCAGCCGGTTGCCCAGACACCGCACCAACCGTACAGTCGCTGCTTGTATATTCAACGTTGCTAAGATCCATCAAGGTTTGAGTTCCAGATCTGTTGAACATTGTACGTTCTTGTAATTTTTTTGTTATAGAGGTATAGTTATAACTACGACATGCGACTAGACTTTTATTTATTTTTTTTAATGAGGAATGACAGACTTTAACAGAATCACTACATAGTATAAGACAAAGTCGCTATCCGCCGTCTGTCTATCCCTATGTATGCTTACATCTTTAAAACTACGCAACGGATTGTGATGTGGTTTTTTAATACATAGAATGATTCTTAACTCGTCGAGTACCGTCATTATAGACACAATTATAGAACAATAGGTTGCGGTCACCGGTGACCGCTTGGTGTTTGACAGTTTAAGGAAGGTTTATATGTATAATACATGCATATTGCACCCGTGCGAAGCCGGGGCGGGTCGCTAGTCTTTTATAAATTGCAATCTGTATCTAGATGTAAATATTTGCTACATGGAATCTAAATAATTGTGAACAAGATCAACATGTTTTACAATTACCTGTACATCTTCATGATCAGCCAACAGCATCAAGCCAAAAGTAAGAGCTAAGGCTGTTGTATCATGTCCCTGTAAACAAACACCTTTATTAAGGGGACTCAAAATACATTACTGCTAGTTCCTTAAAAAAATATTATTGTCTCTAGTTCACTATTGACGTTGTTTCCAGACATTCTCAGTATTCAATTCTTCTAATACATTGAATCAAAACTATCCAATTTGGTTTTGTTAGACGATACAGACGTCAAATATGAGTAATCGAAATCTCTGTACGTGCATAGGTACATTTAGGTTACCCTTTTTTATTAATACAGTTACAGTTAATCATATAATCAAAGCCAATTAATATTATAACAAAAACGTCTCCCTGACCTACCTCAAACATGAAAGTGTTAACCTCATCCCTGATACCATCCATATCAATCTCGCCTTTCTCTTCAGCCTCCAGCAAGAGATCCAACATAGCCAATCTCTTCTTAGTTCCAATGCCATCAGACGCATCAGCAATAGCAGTTTCTTCTCTCTTATTCTGAGTTCTTTGGGCCTTCCTATCCATGATGACGTTATCAGCAAAGGCTCGAGCTACTTCCAAGGTTTTGTTAAATTCTTTTCCTCGTGAAGAGTTGTTGAAGACGAAGTCGTTATGCAGCCAAAACCGGGTGATCCTCGCTAACATTTGCATGCCGATGTTAAGGATGGCGTTCTTGTAGTCCACTGTGGCTGATGTCTTATCGTCGTCCAATTTTGTCCCCATTGCCGTTTCTGTTGAATAGAAATTAGTGTTAGTTTACTTGTTCAGTAATGTATTATAAAATTAAATGTCATTGGAATAAGGAAATTAAGATTTAATCTGTAATTACGTGCTTATGCATTGTAAGAACTTGGTAGGAGCTGGTTTGAAAACTAAAGCCTTTCCTAACTAAATTTAGTTAAAGAAGAACTCTGCTGTCAATATATTATTAAAAAATCCTGATTTAGCTACGTTACTTGTGTATGTGCCAAAACTAAGATTTATAATAAGGATAAAGTGTGGAGTGATACCACGGCCTCACAGTAAACTGACGTGAAACAACGGTTATGTTATGTTTCGTCGTGTGAGTGAGGTTACCGGAGGCTTAATTACACCCGCGCATGTGCGGAAAGATGATGCGACGCGGTACCAGGATAAACTGGTTTTGTACAGATTGATGTGTGGCCGTGTATACACACGTCAATACCAAAAACACATAACAAGATAATCCGGTAGAAGTGTTAATGTGATCGTAAATATACATGTGTACAATAACAAAAATATTTGATTCACTATTTAGTTATACATTATAACTTTGACCTTGAATTCGGAGATTCTGATTAGGTAAGTAAGTTGTTAAACTCAATCAAGCTTAACGCACAACCGATAAAATTTAATAAGTACTTATAAAATTGTTTTTAAAATAATGATACTTGCCGATAATAATATTTATGTTTGTCGGATAAGTGTGGGAGAGCCATGCATCGGCGCAAATGGGCCGGCTCGACCGGAATGATACCACGGCGTCATAGAAAACCGACGTGAAACAACGCTTGCGTTGTGTTTTGTTGTATGAGTGAGGTTAACAGAGGCCTAATTACCCTCCCCTTCCCCAATCTCCCCAATCCCTAAATCCCCAACGATTCTCAAACTCCTAATCCCCAAAAGGCCGGTAACGCACTTGTAACGCCTCTGGTGCTCCAGGTGTCCATGGGCGACGCCGATTGCTTACCATCAGGTGATCCGTCTGCTCGTTTACCGGCTTATGCCATAAAAAAATTTACACCTTTGAATTCCCGCTACGAATTGAGATATCTTTTTGAACAAAACTTAAAAAATAATCTTTAATTTACGAAAACACCTACTTATCTAAAATCAGGTCCATTTAGACTGCACTTCAAACAGTTCTATTCTACAAATAACAAGAGTTTCGAGGAAAACGATTACGTCAAACACAATAAATTGTCGTCCTACTGAATTCTTTGTGTTGCGTCTTCAAAGAACTTAACGATCGGAAACAATTCTTAGGACGCCATATTTATTCTGAAAGGAGGAACTGTATAATTCGATTCATTTCTCTTTTACTTGTTGAACTATCTAGAGTGGATATTTCTAAACTATCTAGAGTTGTTGTTTAACCTGTTATTAACTGTCACAAATTTAGAAAATCTATACAGATAAATAGCATAACATAACATAACATCACGCCTTTTTATCCCCGAAGGGGTAGGCAGTGGTGCACATTTCGGCACTTAATGCCAATGTACAATGTAACACCCACTGTTCACTATTTATGTTATGAGTCCCATGTAATAGGGGGTGAGCCTATTGCCATATACCGGGCACATTTCCAGACTCCGTACTACTACTAAGATTTTTAAGAACCCAGTAATACTTTGCCCGACCCAGGAATCGAACCTGAGACCCCTTGCCGCCGAAGTCACCGGTGACCGCAACCTATTGTTCTATAATTGTGTCCATAATGACGGTACTCGACGAGTTAAGTATGATCTCTTCTCTACGGGAAACAAAAGGAATGTTTTGAGTACTTAATTCGAATTATCGTATTTATAGCGCTGTTGTAAATAAGGAAAATAGTGATTAATTTTAAATTACGTAGTTCGTTACATTATTAAACATAGTCAATGTTTGTATTATAACTTTCGTGAAACATACTAAATGAATTATTATGTTTTCGGCTTACTCACGTAATTATTTGACGAGGAACTCGACTAGTTTCAAGCCAAAATGCCGCTTATGATTATGATAGCTCTAGCATGGCTCATATTCATAAGCAGCATTTCCCGAATCACGATAGAGGGCGCGCTGGGCCTGCAGACTCGAGTAGCCAGTAGCAGCGCGACAGTGGCCGCGTCGCAGGTCCCGAAATGCTGCTCATGAATATGAGCGTCTGCATGGCTCAAAATAATATTAAATTATAGTCAATGTTCATCTGTTTTACTCTGAGAGATAGGTGGATGTCCATAACTTACAATTTTATCTCATGATTGTACATAAAATACAAAACGTGGTGTATGACATTCTTACATAGGTGCTTATATCTTTGTTTTATATTTGTACTGCCTTAAATGACTGCCTCATTAGTCGAGTCGTCGCAAGTGCGACTGGGTCACCTAAATAAGTGACCAGTCTACACGTTTTCAGTTATCCATGAGTGATGCTGATTACTTGATCACCGTCACCCATAGACAGACGCAACACCAAAGGAGTCACAAGTGCATTGCCTAGCTATTTATAAACCCAATTATGTTATGACAAGCAGTTGTGATCAGACATTAAGTAAGTTTTACTGTAATTAAGTATAAGTGCCTGTAATTACGGTGCAGTGATTACAGACTGACACAATGATGGCTTGTCGCATGCATTGTACAATTTGTATGTTATTAAGTCTGAGATACGATAGATAGATATATTAGATTAGGTATATTTTTTAAAAGAGGAAATAACTTTGATATAGTCTTTTTGAAACGTAATGTAAAAATTTTTCAATCACACTCGTTGATGGACTGAACATTGGTATCGTGTTAACACAAAAATTGTAATTCGATATTTGTTAGATAATCCATATTTAGATACTCGCTGACCCGGCAAACTTAGTATCGCTCAATTTCTTTTTCTCACCTTTTAAACCTTCCCTGGACTACCACGAACATTTCAAGGCCGAAATTAGCCAAATCAGTTCAGCCGTTCTCGAGTTTTAGCGAGACTAACGAACAACAATTCATTTTTATAGATTTGTACTGAATATATTTCAAAAACATACATCGATTCCGTGGTTTTCCATTAACTTGACCATAATACGTACATTTTTATGTCCTTAGATTTTTTGTTTAATTTTTTTATTTTATGATATAATTTTAAGTATTTCTTAGTTTTTATTTTATTTTCCAATTATCACAAATACTGATAAAAGTGTCATCGTTAGGCTACTGTGCATGTTGTGACACCTTAAAATGTTGTGCATTTAAAATTTATTACAATGTAAGTGCTTAGATATAAGACCTAATGTAGCAACTACTGGTTGTCCAAATTATAAATAAATAAATTAACTTCAATAGAAATCACTATTGGATATTTTATATACATTGTTGCAAACATACCAAATACTGTAATATGGACCAAATAATTATTACGAAATTAACAAACTAAGAAACAAAGCCCACCTACCCAGATCTTTAATGAAAAACAGACACAGGATAAAGACAGAACAAATTGCGAACTCATAAACTTGGTTACTTCATTTCGTAAACGTAATTGTTTTATATTTTCTTCTTAATTAACAAAATAACTTTACCGCAAATAACTACCAGGAAAACAGCGACACCAGACGTAATGGTCTTAAAACACAGGTAGATAAATTAGTTCGATCATTAAGGAAATTTGTAGCGGCCTGGATTGTTTACTGGGAGTTTTAAAAATTGGCAAAATTATACATTTTGATGTACTCTTTCTGATTTCCATTTTGCACCCTCGTACTAGATTTCTTCTTGGGCACCCATCGATATGTCATAGTCGTTATTTTAAAACGAAAATGCTTGTAACGAATCTGCAGAGGTGCGTCGCAAATAATTACAGAACTAAATGTAATTATTAAAACTGAATTGTAATAAAATGAATAATATTGTTTCTACATTTTGAATGAGGAAGAAAAATTAATACCGGCGCGAGTTCGGTTCTTTTTTCAGGACACTAGCAGTGAAACTAGCTGGGGAAACGACTGATGATAAATGATCAGTGTTGCTGATAATTGTTTTATATTTTCGTTGGCGGCGATAAAAAGGAGTGCACATTTTCATTGAGCAATTTTGTATCTTTATCTATTCAGTTATGAATACTTATCTTGAAAACTTCATGACAACATGACATAACATAACATTGCGCCTTTATATCCCCGAAGGGCTACCCCAGAGGTACACATTCCGTAAAAAAAACATCAATAAATCACCAAAATCATGAAAAAAACATTATATCAAATTATTTTAGAACTTCATTAACGTTTCTACTAACATACGTAAACTTATTTTATCATCAATTATTAAAAAAAAAACCGAAATAAAACGAGAATTTTATGTGGACAAAAAGTGTCGAGCCAAAACTCAGTGCACAGTAAATAGCTACTTAAGTCTGGGCAACATTGAAGTGGCCTCCACGGTCCTCATCAACGTATAATTTAACAATCAGCCACCGAGATCTAGGACGTGGTATCATTATAATTGAGCCAACAGACATGCAATTGATGTGTGATACACACATTTGTAAGTGTGTGGTAAGACTAGAAAAAATTAAGGAAATAACTAAATTTAAAGATGCAGGGAAATTATGTAAAACACTAAAATGGCAATGGGCAGGGCATATGATAAGAGAGAGGAATATGAAATGGACAAAGACAATATCAGAATGGTACCCAAGAGATGGGAAAAGGAGCATGGGGCGACAACCAAACGATAGGAAGATGACCTAAGGGGAACTGCTGGACCAGAGTGGATGAGAATTGCGAGGGATAGGGAAAACTGAAAATCTTTGGAGGAGGCCTTTGTCGAAGGGCAAGCTGGGGATAAAACTACTGATGTATAGTATAGTAATAGAGACTAAATTGTAAATTTGTAACCTCAGTAATAAAGGCTTATTTTTTATTTTACACACATGTCTTTGTACCGATGAACGTGTATGTACAGACACTGTTTACATACACAAACTGGTGAAAATATTAAAGGTATGTTTATTAAGAATACAAAAATGTTTTCTGTCATTAAAAGTCTCATTGATAATGATGCGGAATCAATTATAGAATTCAGTTACCAGTCATCCGAGAACTTGGATAACGAAAACTTTGTTTTCTGCCATAAAATTCACACAGCTATAATAAAAATTTGCAGAAGCAGCCGCTACCTATGTATCTTATACTAGTACATAAAACTGAAGAGTACGCTAATCTCCGGAACTACAGGTACGATTTCAATAATTCTTTTTGTGTTGGATAGTCCATTTATCGAGGAAGGCCATAGGCTACAGAACATCACGCCACGATCAATAGGAGCCGAGCAGAGCGGGTGCAACCGCACGAAAATTGCTAGTGTAAAATACAAGTCATTTTACTAGTGTTCGTGAGAGCCATGTTTCGACACGAATCGAATAAGATGGCTCGACTGGAATACCACTGCCTCACAATTTGAGTGATGTTATTCCAGAAAAAAATAGTCCACACTAAATTACTTCCGAAATAATGTAGTAAATTACCAAGAACTCACCACAAATAGTGAAGAGAGTGAAATCACTGATTGTGGGCATCAAGCTCACATCAGCTCCGTTCTTGTCCTTGAGCATCTTCACCAGATCCTGTGTCTTCTCCTCGATTACGTGGGCGAAGTTCTTCAGGATGTTGAAGTGGAAGGTTGGAGTCAGAATCTTACGGCGCTTGTGCCAGTGGAGACCTGGTAAAGAAACGAAGAAAAGTTGTGATTTATTGTTTTTCACATAATTATGTCTTTATGGGTCGCTTATCACTACATAGTATAAAACAGTGTCGCTATCCGCTGTCTGTCTGTCCCTATGTATGCTTAGATCTTCAAAACAATGCAATGGATTTTGATGCGGTTTTTTTTTAATAGATAGAGGAATTCTTAAGGAAGGTTTATAATAAATAAATAAAATAAATAAAATAAAATTTTATTCATAATTCAAAAATGCAAAATACAAAATATGTTTCAAGTAAGTAAAATTGATCTCATAAAGTTAGATGCCTGCACTAGGACAATCCTGTATCGCAGGCAAAAGGAGCTCTATACATTACTTTTGTAGGAAGACATCTTATTTCTAAAAACGTAACTACATACTTATCATTATGCAACAGTAAACAATATTATTATTTTAATAAACATACATACATACAAAATAAAACCTCATACTCTATATTCTCATAAGAGATAGGCAGAGGTGCATTTTTAATTATTTGTTATACATAAAATATACCTACTTACATAACAATAAATCCCCGAAGGGATAGGCAAAAATATTGCAACATTATAGTATATACCTAACATTAACATTTATTCAGAATTACAACATATCACTACGACCGAGGAATTGCAAACATCAGCAGGAATATAAACTAGGTTACAATACATTCGGTCATTTTCTAATTACAATAATATGAAATTAATTGCTTAGGTAGCAATAAGGCTGTTATGTTGTGTAACTGTTGTTCAGGGCAAAGGTTAACCAACTCGGAAAGACCTAGAGTGTGATGCGTTTTTATGCGCCCTCATAGTCGATTGAGTTGATGTACCGATATTCCGCTATCTTCCTGGCGGGACACTCAACGTCTCCAGTTTTATGCTGGCTGGGTTTGTTAAACCGAGAACAAGTTGCGCATTTAAGGGACTCCACTTTCTTAGTACACGCAGATGTTAAATGTCCCACTTCTCCACAGTGGCCACACGATGGGGAGAGCTCCCGGCACGTTTTTGCTGCGTGACCATATTGCTGACATTTGTAGCATCTGGTGACGAGCGTAAAATCTCTGACAGGGCAAGAAGTCCAGTTTATGTAAAGCCTTTCTTGGGATATAAGGGCTTTACGTATCTTTGCTGGAAACTCTACTATGAAGTTACAGGTCGATGCATCCTTTTTTCCAGATTTGTGACTTATTTTAACAGCCGTTAAAAAGGACTCTAATGACATATCTGGGAACTTGTCAGTTATGTTCTGCTCGTATATGCATTTAATTACGTCAGCATCGTTCATGGACGTCGGCACTCCTATAATTGTGAGTCGTGGTTGGCGCTTTTTGGGTTCATCAGCAAAGAGTCCAGACAACGATATGCCTACTGCATCCTTGACTTTGACGGCATCTTCTTTGGTTTCTGTGCTAATTATAACACCTCCATTTTGAGTTCGACGGACTCCGCGCACATGTAGCTTCAATTCTTCAGGACTTATAATTTTTTGCACAATCGATTTAGTTTCATCACTAGACTTCTGTTTATTTATTGGATAAATAGCAACAGAGCACAAGTTGTTAGGTCGCACGAAACTTTTACCTTTCTTCACCATATCAGCGAAAGACTCGTTTTTTGTTGTATTTGAGTTCTTGAGAGTGTTTTTGATCTCCAACATTTGGTCTGATAGATCTTGTTTTTCCCTCAATTCATCCATAATGTTGACGGCTAAGCGGGCTTGCTGCTTTAAAGCTTGGTAGAGGACAGCCATTTGCGACACATCAGCACCAATTTTTCGGCTCAAGTTAGAAATTTTGAGTTTTTGCTCCGAATTGAGTTTGCCCTCTGTGGCAATAATACATACTTCGTTCAACTGCTTCTCAATGCTTGCCATCCAGTTCTGAATGTCGGGCGTGGACACAGCTTCTATAGAGAAGCCAGATTTACGGCTGCTCCCTATTGGTGAGGCACAGGAAGCCAGATTATTCGGTATTTTATCCATTTTCAAACTACTATGATTTGATTATGTTTTCATTGTAAAATACTAAGTTACAGTATCAGCAAAAGTAATTTAGTAGGTCACTGTTGCATTAATTCAATAGTAAGTTATAAATACGTCTGTTCGCATCGAACGACAATCGAGTACTCCTTATTATTATGTATAATACATGCATATTGCACCCGTGCGAAGCCGGGGCGGGTCAATAGTGGTATTATAAACATGGATAATATATCTTCGTTTCATTTATCTTAATTTTTATTCGTTGAATGCTGGCTGCAGTCTGAATTTTTAATTATCAACCTTTCTTCATTTATATTTAAATGCTATTTTTGCAATTGTCGCAAGCAAGAAGTGTCTCGGGCCCCTCGAGTTCAATTAAATAAGTAATTGATTTTTGTCACATAAATAGTTTAGAATCGAGCAATCTGTTTAGTATCAGACTCGGAAGATGAACATTATATTCAATATTGACTGCACGGTTGGTGCGGTGGCTGGGCAACCGGCTTCCGTGCAACGTGTCGCGGGTTCGATTCCCGTACGGAACAATACTTTGTGTGAGCCACAAATTGTTGTTCCTGGTCTGAGTGTCATTGTGTATGTGAACTTGTATGTTTGTAAACACATCCACGACACAGGAGAAAATCCTAATGTGGAGCAACGTTTTTTAAAAAAAAATATCTATACTCCTAAGTCAATTGAAGGTCATCTGAAACCATAATTAGATTCATTAATCTGAGGCCAATTGACTTGAAACTGCGACAACAGGTAAAAAACACTGATTACCTGTTTCCCAGCAAATTACTGGCTTCAAGGTCGGTAGAACAAGTACCATTATAGAATAGAGGAATCCAAAATACAATGTTCCCAAAAACAATTATTGTTAGTTGGTCTTGTCTGAAACATTATATCTTTTTAAATTGGTTTTATAATTACCTTGCAACATAAGTTATTTAATAAAGGATCTTTATTTAAAATAGTCTTATTTTAAATTCTATGTACTAACATTAAAAAACTAGTTGGGCCTCTGGCGTGACACGTGTAAAGAGCATTGTTGGTACTGACAATAATAAAAATATACATCACACCAGGGATGTTAGGGAGCTCCGTAATCGTAATCGAAGCTATCGGATATCCGATGCAAAGAAATAACCTTAACCGAATCCGAAATAAAAGTTTCGTATACTATCGGATAGGGGCGTGATGTATAAATGAAACCATTATAATTAGCTATTTGTATTTTACTTTTCAAATTCCTTAAAATTTTAATATCCGTAACCGAAATTATACGAAACTAACGGATAATCCGAAATAATTTCATATCCGTATCCAAAATTTCATATACATTATGCCCTTATACTGATTTATAGACTTACTAGCATTTGCCTGCGGCTTCGATCGGGTCCCCGTGTGATACAACGTATAATATGTGTTATTCCCTAGACCATAATCTACCCTTGTTCCAATATTCATCTCGATTCCTTCAGCCGTTTCCACGTGAAAGAGTAAGAAGCACACATACACACACACACATCCTCACAAACTTGCGTATTTATAATATTAGTAGGAAGTAGGTTTAGTAAGATGTATAGATAGGGCATAGAACCGAAATCGTAGAGGAAACTATGTTATACTACCATGTTAGACTTAAGATTTTTTTTTTTATTATATTAAGTTATTAGTATAATGCGTCAAGCGTGTCTTTGCATTGTTCTTACATATGCGTACAGTATTGAAATATGTATCAGAGACATTGTAGAACATACTTTTTTAAAAGAGTAACGAATGGAGTTTCTTGCTCGTTCTTCTCCATTCGAATCTACGTTTTGGAATGAGCACCTAGCTTCACCTAATTTCACTGACGGACTGACTGACAGACTATAATTTATTTTGTTTTTGTTGACGTTTCAAAAGTACCAAACTATGGTTTAATTGAAATAAATGCTTTGACTTTGACTTTGACTATATACAGACCTATGCAAACATGCTGTATGTTTAAGTAGTCCGGGTTTTATTTGCTTTACAGGACAGTCCCTTTAGAAACGTTCCTACGATAACTACGATACAATATATTATGTTTTTTTTAAGGGGGGAAAATCATCGAATGACTGCTCCCGCCTGGGTGAGGCGGGAGGGAGTGTCAGACTCTTACTGACTAAAAACCACCCCGTTCCTTCTCCTGCACGTCGAGCCGGAGCCCCGGTTACCCGTTAGGTTCTCTGCGACACAATATATGTATAGGGCATTCTTGTGAACTGCGGTATGCAGGTAAGTAAGAACAACTTTTATGTGATCCATAGATTGTTGTTTCGGGTCTAGGTGTCTTGTGTATGTGAACTTGTATGTTTGTAAACGCACCCACGACACAGGGGATAATCCTAGTGTGGGGCAACCTTTTTTTTTTTAAAGAAAAAAAAAATAAACGTATGTGTCAAATTAATCGAACTAGTAAAGTTATGTTTGACTCTCCTTATCTTAATGTTTTTAACTAAATAGTTTATACTGTTGCTAGGACTGCCTCATTGGCCAAGGTCGCAAGTGCAACGGGTCTCGGGTTTGATTCCCGGGTCGGGTAAATTATTACTGTTTTTTTTTAATTATCAGTAGTAGCACGGAGTTTGGAATTGTGTCCGGTATATGGCAATAGGATCACCCCCTATTACATGGGATTCATTACATAAATAGTAAAAAGTGGATGTTACATTGTACACTTGTACAGTGGCATTAAGTGCCGTAATGTGCACCTCTGCCTACCATTTTGGGGATAAAGGCGTGATGTTATATTGTGATAAACAGTTTATCTGTAATATAATACAAGAATTAATTAAAAATTCGTAACTTTTTACTCATCTAGAATTTTCTTTTCTTTAAAATATAACTAACATTTTATAAGGTATACTTTATAAAATCCACGAACACAAGGTGAACAAGAAACGTGCATTACCGCCATTATCGAGGATCGCAAATGTGAGCAACACAAATATACAAAGGAAATTGACACGTGAATTGATAGGCGATGTTCTGACATATTTTTTAAGAAAGCGATGAGAGTACCTACTCAAATTAATTTCTTTGTAAAATAAAATATTGTGAAATATGTAAGATTATCATCAATCAACAGGCCATCACAGTCTATTGCCTTCTCTATATAAGAAGTTTTGCCATGATCCATTGCTCGGCATGCGGGATAGAAATCAACATAAGAAACCTCAGGTTTACAGCGAGGGTTGTTCTTGAATGATGTAGGCAGAGGTGCACTTTACGCCACCCACTTTTCACTGTCGCGGAGGACCTAACGGGTTACCGGGGCTCCGGCTCGACGTGCAGGTGAAGAAACGGGGTGGTTTTTAGTCAGTAAGAGTCTGACACTCCCTCCCGCCTCACCCAGGCTAGGGAAGATGATTTTCCCCCCTTAAAAAAAGCAAATTTTGCTTACCAGCATTCCACTAATAAATAAACATGTTTGAAACAAATACCAACCAGTACTAAGCAAGAGTCCGGTGCCCAGCCATCCCTTTAGGAAGTCATAAGGAGCACTCTTCTTGATATTCTTCGAATGCGAGAGCACCGTCTGGAACAAATCATTTTATTAACACGGTATACATACTTACTTTACTTTCTGCAATATGTTATTTAATTTTCTACACATATATACTTAATACGACATTTTCGACAGATACTTTTCTATTTACTACATAATTTTTAGGCTCGCGACTAAATCTAAACGTGTGTCCACATCTGGCAAATGAGCAGCTCGCGGGCCGCCCGCGTAATGCGCGCGTGCAGTCACGGCAATGGTTTGGTCCTCAACTTATACAAGGTTCATAAATAATAATTTTAAATGCACGCGTGCAGCTCGCGAGCCGCGCACCTTCGCCATATGTGGACGCACCCTTAGGTTTCTCCCAAAAAATCTTATAATTATTTCGCTCACATTTGCGAATCGAAGAAGCTAGACGATTTTATGATTACACATTCTTCTGTATGTTACCAATATAAAACCAGCCTTAAAATTCCAAGTACAGTCAGCAGCAAAAGTCGATGACCAGAATCAACATTACAAAACACCTGCTCACAATAAAATGCCATAAGTTATAGTCGCAACTAGGAAACAAAATAGCCTGTACACTAGAAATTTACAAAAGTCGTTACACACGACTATTTCAGAAGTATCTGTGCACTAGTATGCCTAAAGTCGCTGTACACCATCAATCCAAATGTCGCTGAACACCACTGTACCAAAAGTTACTAAACAGCAGTAAAGATGAAATTAGGTTAACAAAGTATATTTTTAATGTTGCCGTGTGTTAATATACTTTTGACGCTTGTGTTGTTCAGTTACTTTTAGGACAATGTTTGCTTCACTTTAATAATGCATGTTAACACGTTAGTATCTATTTCAATATCTATTTACAAAATTATGTATATTTTATTGTCAGTAATCATACTAATCTATATTATATATACGCTTACGTCAAAATAATCGCTTTGTTTTGTGACGGTACTTGTAATTTCCTTTGCGCGAATCTTACAAAACCTACCTGTACCTACATTCAAGTTCATCCTTACATAACATTAATGCATTAATTGGAAAATTCCAAAAATTCTATGAGTAGCTATAAAAAGTGGCACAAAGACATAACACCAGTGGGAACAGGAAACTGGTTAATTAAACACAATTATTGTGGGTTTCTTTTCTTGCCACTGCTGCACTGGTGTGGCAATACTAGCAGTGTCTTACAAACAATAACAATAATAATAGTCCACTCGTTGGCCGAGTGGTCGCAATACAACTGCCGGGCAATGGGTCTTGGGTTCGATTCCCGGGTCGGGCAAAGTATTACTGAGTTTAAAAAAAAAATCTCAGTAGTATCACGGAGTCTGGAATGAAATGGAAAGTGGATGTTACAGTGGACTATTATTGCCATTTTATGTGCATTAATAGTTCATTGCTAAACTGTTCGATAGTGATACAGTTCAATGTTTAGTCTTATACCAATACATAACATCACGCCTTTTATCCCCGAAGCGTTAAGCAGAGATTCATATTGCGACACTTAATGCCATCATGTAACACCCACTTTTCACTATTTATGTTATGAGTCCCATGTAATAGGGGCTGAGCCTATTGCCATATACCGGGCACAATTCCAGACTCCGTGATACTACTGAGATTTTTTTTTTAAACTCAGTAATACTTTGCCCGACCCGGGAATCGAACCCAAGACCCATTGCCCGGCAGTTGTATTGCGACCACTCGGCCAACGAGTGGACTATTATTATTGTTATTGTTTGTAAGACACTGCTAGTATTGCCACACCAGTGCAGCAGTGGCAAGAAAAGAAACCCACAATAATTGTGTTTAATTAACCAGTTTCCTGTTCCCACTGGTGTTATGTCTTTGTGCCACTTTTTATAGCTACTCATAGAATTTTTGGAATTTTCCAATTAATGCATTAATGTTATGTAAGGATGAACTTGAATGTAGGTACAGGTAGGTTTTGTAAGATTCGCGCAAAGGAAATTACAAGTACCGTCACAAAACAAAGCGATTATTTTGACGTAAGCGTATATATAATATAGATTAGTATGATTACTGACAATAAAATATACATAATTTTGTAAATAGATATTGAAATAGATACTGACGTGTTAACATGCATTATTAAAGTGAAGCAAACATTGTCCTAAAAGTAACTGAACAACACAAGCGTCAAAAGTATATTAACACACGGCAACATTAAAAATATACTTTGTTAACCTAATTTCATCTTTACTGCTGTTTAGTGACTTTTGGTACAATGGTGTTCAGCGACATTTGGATTGATGGTGTACAGCGACTTTAGGAATACTAGTGCACAGATACTTCTGAAATAGTCGTGTGTAACGACTTTTGTAAATTTCTAGTGTACAGGCTATTTTGTTTCCTAGTTGCGACTATAACTTATGGCATTTTATTGTGAGCAGGTGTTTTGTAATGTTGATTCTGGTCATCGACATTTGCTGCTGACTGTACCTAAAAGTGCCTATTTTTTTATAAACGTTGCCGCACAATACGATTTCCTCCTGTGTCGTGGGTGCGTTTACAAACGTACGAGTTCGCATACGCATGACACCCAGACCCGAAACAACAATTTGTAGATTACACAAATAGTTGTTCCGTGCGGGAATCGAAACCGCGACATATTGCGCGGCAGCCAGTTGCCCAGCCTCTACACCAACCGTGCAGTCTCATAATACTGAACGTTTGTTCTCTCTTTCTTTCTTAGAAATCTAAACAGGTTTCCTGAACTAACTTTGTAGTAATACGAATATTTGTAGAAAATTTTCTATTCAATATTTTCCTCTTTTCCACGTACTAAAAGATGGGCTTCAGCGCCTTCAGCGAACCGTTTTGCAAAGGAAAAGTGAAACCCTAGTCAGTAGGGAATGAATAGGAACCTGTTGAACGATCAATATCTGAATGGTATGTACCTAAGTAATTGATTAGTATAGAATTTCCACAGTGAATAACATTTGTGTAAATAACGACTAACTTTTGATGCTATATTTAATCGACTTCAAAAATGAAGTCCTCTTTTTGACCTGTATTTATGTAATATGTATACATATGTGTATGTATGTGTGTATGTATGATTGTTTGTGCGCGATTCTCTTGCCATTGGCTGAACCGATTTTGATGCGGTTTTTAAATAAAAAGGTGAGAGAGCCATATATATACCACCACGGAATATAGAATACAATATATATAGAATACAATATTCCGTGGTGGTATATATATGGCTCTCTGGTCTTATACCACGACCTCACAGAAGACCGACGTGAAACAACGTTATGTTGTGTTTCGTCGAGTGAGATTACCTGAGGTCCAATTTTTTTTGTGGCATAAGCCGATACCATACCTGATGGTAAGCAATCGGCATCGCCCATGGACACCTGGAACACCAGAGGCGTTACAAGTGCGTTACCGGCCTTTTGGGGATTAGGAGTTTGAGGATCGTTGGGGATTCAGGAATTGCGGAGATTGGGACAGGACAGGAGACAGGGGAAAGGGAGGGTAATTGGGGCCTCCGGTAACCTTACTCACACGACGAAACACAATGCAAGCGTTGCTTCACGTCGGTTTTCTGTGAGGCCGTGGTATCACTCAGGTCCAGCCGGCCCATTCGTGACGAAGCATGGTTCTCCCACACTTAACTTACGTGCTTACACAGACTGTTATACTTTCTTGAATCTATTTTTTTTATCTATTTTGTTTGAAAATTTCACTTTTCGTGTTATTCTTCTGTGTAAAAATACTACATTATAATTCATTTATTGCCGAAATCCGTGCCACATACTGTATATAGGAGAAACAAGGACATAATGTGATCAAACTGTCTATCTCTAAAGTCCATGTGGCTACTAGACAATATGTCAGCTTACTCTGTCTATCTTCATAAATAAAGGGTCCCTTTGCAATGTTAGAAGGCTTAATTTACATCAAGGAAAAGCCGTTTGATTTACACTTCCAATTGATATTACTCGTCTTTGTAGGTCTGGTTTGTTGAGCACGGTTTGATCTATGAATCAGGCGAAATATTATTGTAATTTGATCGACAAAATATTATTATCATATTGGTCTTTGATTTGATTTTAAGGACGAATGGATTTGATTTTCATTTTATACTTTGATTCTTCTATTTAGTCATGAGATGAGTGATTTCTGCGACACCAAAACTCCTTAGAGCCGATTTTTCCAAATAAGTTTTATCAGAGCAATAACTTTAAATATTTGACAATTCTTCCAAACTACCGCCTCGTTGGCCGAGTGGTCGCAAGTGCGACTGCCGGGAAAGGGGTCTCGGGTTTCTATTCCCGGGTCGGGCAAAGTATTATTAGGTCTTCTAATAAGAAAATCTCAGTGGTAGCACGGAGTCTGGAATTGTGCCATTTATATGGCAATAGGCTCACCCCCTATTACATGGGACTCATAACATAAATAGTGAAAAGTGGGTGTTACATTGTACAGTGGCATTAAGTGCCGTATAATGTGCACCTCTACCTACCCCTTCGGGAATAAAAAGGCGTGACGTTATGTTATGATAATATATGTCTTCTATACTAAAAATTGTCAAATGTCAATTTTATTCTACAGTTTAGATTTATCTGTTGATGGAAGAATCGACCCTTAAATTATGAATAGGTAAGTACTAATACCTCTTATAGATATGCCTAAGTATACCTTAAAAATCTTAATAATGCTTTTCTTACGACCACTCACACAACCAAGTAAAATAATAGGTATATTTTTTTTTTATAAAAAAAAGCGTTGCCCCACACTATGAATTTCTCCTGTATCGTGGGTGCGTTTACAAACATACAAGTTCACATACACATGACACCCAGACTCGGAACAACAATCTGTGGATCACATAAAGAATTGTTTCTTGCGGGAGGGAATCCAACCCGCGACACGTTGTGCGGCAGCCAGTTGCCAAATTGCACAAATTAAGAAAATAAATAGACAAAAGTACGTACCTCAACATCAGGAGGTCCAGATATATGCAGCACTCGGAGACTGAACACCTTGAACACATAGCGGTCGCCATATTTGTTCGTGTAGTCGACCAATATGTCCAATAACTTATCTGGAAAACAAAGAATGCACTTAATCGAAATTATCTAGGCGTCTTCATTTTATTTTTTTATGGCATAAGCACCTATACGAGCAGATGGATCATCCGATGGTAAGCAATCGGCGTCGCCCATGGACACCTGGAACACCAGAGGCGTAACAAACTTTTTGGGAAATTAGAAGGTTGATGATTGTTGGGGATTCAGGAATTGGGGAGATTGGGGAAGGGGAGGGTAATTAAGCCTCCGGTAACCTCACTCACACGACGAAACACAACGCAAGCGTTGCTTCACATCGGTTTTCTGTGAGGCCGTGGTATCACTCCGGTCGAGCCGGCCCGTTCGTGCCAAAGCATGGCTCTCCCACACTTAAGACAAGTTTCTACACAAGTACTCACTGTTGTACTTGACTTCAAAAGAAAAAGAACGAGATTCTCAGTGTGGCCTGTAAGTATGTATTTATGTTTGTGCGCAACTATCTCGTGATTGGCTGAACCGGTTTTTATTAGGCTGTCAGCAAAGTATTTGTTACACTTACAAGAATATTTTGAACTGAGTTTAAAGGGGATTTGAAGTGGCCTTTTCTAAACGTAGTTTATACAAGAATTATTATAAACTAGCTTCTGCCAGCAGCGCCGCCCGCGTTCCCAGGGGTAAAAATATTAATAGACATACATAGTATAACAGGGTATGAAAGTCAATAATAAAAATAATGAACACTTATTTTTTGTTGTATACGAAAACCATACTTCGATATGAGAACCTCCTCCTTTTTTTGAAGTCGGTTAAAAACGAAACGAATTTTAGTTCACGTGACGTCACAGAATACCGGAGAGAAGAGATGTGGTGACAATACTCTATTCTACTCTGGCATCACCACATGGTAAGCGTTTACACCAACTAAACAGCGTATATTTATCATACTTGTTACTTAGTATCAAGTTTTACCTGAGGGCATTTGGAGCAGCTCCCAGGCGTTCCCGATCCATGGTTTCCTCGGAGGTCCGGGGAGTTTGTCCACGGGGTTATCATCATCTCGGAAAAATATCAGCCATACCACCGCCGCCACCAACGCCGCCAGCAGCAACTCAAATATCATGTTGCTGGTCCTGTAGACAAATAGAGAAGTTTTCTTTACTTTTCCTTTTATTCATTTATTTATTTATTTTATTGTATTTTACTTTAAAGGGCTTTTAACCGATAGGTTGCGTCACTCCCATCGTTACCAAAACTTATATAATAATAATAATAAAAACGTTTATTAGCGCCTCATGGAATTACCACCCAGTGTCAGACTGCGCCAGACAATCCACAAACAGAGAGAGATGACGGGAGATCGTGAGGAAAGCTGTATCGGCCACCGTGACCACGACCGCTCTGCCAAGAGCGAAACGACAGAGAAGAAGAAGAATTACCACAGTGAAGCCCTGGCTCTTGTACTAGGTATCCCTGTATCACAAGAGCCAGGTCTCTCAATATACATGGAATGATAGCACCACGTGAGACTTGACAATTAATAATGACTTACATATAATACGAGTAAATTCAAAGTTAGACAAAAGTATAAACAAAACCAAAATAACTATAAATCTATATATATAAAAGAAAGTCGTGTTAGTTACACCACTTATAACTCAAGAACGGCAGAATAGATTTGGCTGAAAATTGGTAGAGAGGTAGCTTAGAGCTAGGAGACCGACATAGGATACTTTTTAACCAATACTTTTTTTTAATTTTTACCCATAATCACGAACGGGGACGGGAAAAATGGGATTACGCGTACGAAGTCGCGGGCAGAAGCTAGTAAGAAATAAAAAGACAAACAATCATTAGTACCTATATATCTAAAAATATTTTAAATTAACAAAAAAATTATTAAATATTTGATATATTATAGGTATTTGATATACCAACGGGTCATCACTTGTTTTGCCGAGTGGTCGCTGGGTAAGCTGTCGAGTAACTAGGCCTCGGGTTCGATTCCCGGGTCGGGCAAAGTATTACTGGGTTTAACTCGTCGAGTACCGTCATTATAGACACAATTGTAGAACAATAGCTTGCGGTCACCGGTGACTGCTTGGTGTTTGACAGTTTAAATAAAAAATCTCAGTGGTAGCAAGAAGTCTGGAATTGTGCCCGGTATATGGCAATAGGCTCACCCCCTATTGGCCTCATAACATAAATAGTGAAAAGTGGGTGTTACATTGTACAGTGGCATTACGTACCGTAATGTGCACCTTTGGCTAACCCTTCGGGGATAAAAAGCGTGATGTTATGTTATGTGTCAAAAAGGAAGATATGCCTTAGTTGTATCATTTCTTTTCATTTAAAGACCTTCAAGCTTTCTATAATACACTCAATTTTATCGCCTATCAATACTCACAAATTCAGAAATCCGTACCTACTTAAACTGTTTTCCCTATTTTAACCAAATGCGCGGTGGTTGGGCATCTGACTGCCGCGCAACGTGTTGCGGGTTCGATTCCGGCACGGAACAACTTTTTGTGTGATCCACAGATTGTTGTTTTGGGGTCTGGATGTCATGTGTATGTGAACTTATATAGAGGTATTTGTAACCGCAACCACGACACAGGAGAAAATACTATAATGTGGCAACGTTTTAAAAAAAATACGTATCTTTATAATATCTCCCTAATTTGGCATTAAAAACACAAAGTCGTAGGTACCTACCTAACAAGTCATTGATTCACTCGTACTCTCTATACCTATTCAATTAATCTGCAGGTAAGTAGCCCACAGTGCGGAGTGATTAATCCCTACGGAAATGGATTCCCCGAATGATGCCTTTAGGTAATAACCTACATATTCTGACACGTGTACTTTATGAATAGGTAGCAGGAAATGGTGGAAACCCCTGCTCTTGCTAAAATAGGATTTCCACCATTTCCTTACATTACAAGATAAGTGTGGGAGAGCCATGCTTCGGCACGAATGGGCCGGCTAGACCCGAGTGATACTACGGCCTCACAGAAAACCGACGTGACGCAACGCTTGCGTTGTGTTTCGTCGTGTGAGTGAGGTTACTGGAGGCCCAATTACCCTCCCCTTCCCCAATCTCCCCAATTCCTGAATCCCCAACGATCCTCAAACTCCTAATCCCCAATTTGGATTGGGAACGTGGGGGAGGGGTAATTGGGCCTCCGGCAACCTCACTCACGACAACCAAAAAACTTAAAATTGAGTAGCTTTTGAGTATTTGGACATAAGACTCTTATTCGTCTTAATTCTCATTATCAGAATGTATCATATTCATGTTCGTTAAAATTAATCTTGAAGTGTCAATAACTAAATGTTCTGTAATAAATTAACATAACTTTAATTACAGATATACATATTACAACACGCTCCGCCGCCGCGCACCAACAGGTCAGACGATACACAACAAAATATTGATATACTACAAAAAAGTTATAAATAACTTGATATCCCACTGACCTTCGAGTTTCGTTTATTATCTGCAGACAATATTATAAAGGTAAATGCAGCAATTGCGGGCATAAAGCAGTTTTTGTGTCTGTTTGCTTGCTTGCTTGGCTGCATTTTTAGTTGTGTTGGTTTAGCAAATAATAGGGTAGATGCCTAATTTTTATTTTAATGTCCGTCTGGTAGATTATTTTAAATCATTAGACACGTATTATTTATTTTCTTACAGAAACGAATACTTTCGACGAAATATTGATTTGAAATGTCGCGTGACGTCACTTCTATGTACCTACATTTTATACGTAGAAATGACGTTTTAGCCCCTACTCCGAAAGTTTGATTCGTATTATATAAGTATTGTTTTATTATACGACAAAATAAAAAAATACGTGTCTAATATTTTTTTATTACCTAGCTTACGGAATACGGACTAATTATATTTTTAATTTTGATACCCTGTCATCATCCCAATTGTATTATGAACTTTATTGTTTTCGATTATTTCTTGTGCGAGTTTTTGGTTGGTAGGGTAAAAATGTTAATCTTGCAAGTATTATTCAGTTTTTTCATATCGGTTTCGAAATACTATCATAGTTTGTAACACCTCTACGACTAGGTAGTCTTAGTCTCTAGTCTCTAGTCTAGTAAGTAGGTACTCAAAGGAGTTAAATACCTTGAGAAAATGGACTAGTCCCCTAAGAATAAAACGTGTTCAATATTTTTATAGCAGGGAACTTTACGGACAGAGAAGTTAATCCTACTAATAGTATCCTACAATATATAATATTATAAATGAGAAAGTTCGTATGTCTGTTTCTATGCTACTCCTTCTCATCAAAACAGCTGAAGGAATCCGGATCAAATTTAGAAAAAAAAGCATATTAGCGAATTGAGAACCTCCTCATTTTTTTGAAGTCGGTTAAAAAGGGAAGAGTATGGTCTGAAATAACACAGGCTACTTTTTACGAAACGGGATTACGGGCAAGGTCGGTGGCAGAAGCTAATATACCCTATTATAGTGCCTTACTACCTCAGTTCGAGCTAAATAGTTAATCCTGAGGTGAGTATAATCCGTTAAGTCTAATCACTTTCTGGCTAATATTGCTAATTGCCTATAATTATACTTAGTAACATTATGTAGTAGGCAGGTGCGTGCATTAGGCTCATATTAGCATACCGAATGAACTAATTAAATGATTATCTTCCAGTCTGTAAGCACTAAATGCCTTAATAGCTTTGCATGAAAGTCTGTATCTAGATTAAATTAAAGACTTGTTATTCAATGTTATTTATAACTTTAAAACGGCTGGATCGAATTATGTGATCTTTAGTTTGTTGTCGACGAGAAAAAATTTGAAGATAAATCCAATTCATTTGTAGTCGGATCGAGACTTTTATTGTTTAATGGGCGTACTATATTTTTGCTAACCATGACGTTGCCAACAATGACGTTAGTGTGAACCTGTCGTTCTTCGTCCAATAGGAAATTAGGTAGTGTCCCGGCATTGGACGTTCAATGGTTGACAGCTGCTTTGATTGGACAAAAAACTCCTTCCTACATTTGCGGGTGAGCAAAAAATAGTTAGCCCTCATTTGAAACGAGCATCTTGCAACAGTAGATGAAAGAAAGAAACATACATGAATTGTATTATTTACCTTCGAAAAGGCCGTGTATTCTAGACAGACAATAATATACAAATCAAATCAAATCACTTTTATTTGTTAACATAGGTGCATAAAGATATAGGTCTTATAAATGTTAATAAAATAGAGCGCTATGTTATACCCGGAAGCGTACAAATTGTGGTGAGCACTTTTTTTAAGGGGGGACTATCATTGAATCATCGAATGACTGCTCCCGCCTGATTGAGGCGGGAGGGAATGTCAGACTCTTACTGACTAAAAACCACCCCGTTCTTTCTCCTGCACGTCGAACCGGAGCTCCGGTAACCCGTTAGGTTCTCCGCGACTGTGGTGAGCACTAAGCTTAAGTTTGCAAATTAAAATAGAGAAGTATATGACTTGAGGAAACATGCATAATTAATGATAATATATTAATTTAACAATCAATTTCAACAATTAAAAAAACGTCATGCACTTTAATCGAATGACGTCTAGATATTAATTAGAAATTTCAAGTTTTTATAATAACTATCGTGAGACACTAAATTAAGTAAAATCGCGGGTTGCTCACTGTCGTGTAGTGTAGTGAGCTGACCGACGTCGCCGCGACCGCGCACGCTGCTCATGAGGAAGAACCCCTCTGTGGTTCGAAACTAGTAGAGCTTTTCTCAGTAAACTCACATGAGTAGCCCGCGATTTTACTTAATTTAGAAATGTCAAAAAGAAAATAATAGTAGTAATTAAACAATATGTACTGCACATATTTAAAAATGTCACTATCTAAGGTCAAACCATTAAAATGTCTAAATTTATTAAATGTCAATATCAATAATGGTGGTTCTATTGAAGTTCTGCCTTGCTAATTGATTTAGTAATTAGCTCACACCTACACGAGGCTAAACTCTATAAATGGAAACAGCTGATTGGATCGCACTTAGAATCAAACAACCATAGTGAATCCAATAAATCCACTTAGTCAATGTAATTAACCTAAACAGGAGCAGAGGCCTTAGTATGAGTTTGATTTACGTTTAAAGTAATC